GCTTGTCATGCAAGAAAATTTGCATATATTAATTCTAATATTCTTCATTTTCGTTAAATAAATGTTATATTATATAAACAGAATAATATATTATATAGAAGAAATAGAAAATGATAAAAATATTTCCGAAAACCCCTTCCTTGTATTGAATATGATAACACAATATATACATGAAATACAGAAACATTCTAGGCTATAATTACGTTAACCATTATAGTCAGTATCCTAAATTTGTCTATTAATAGATATGAAATTAATGTGCATCGCTGTCATGCCAAGCTAAATATGGAAAAAAATAATCATGTAGAATCATGGCATGATACGGTATTTGTAATCGTATATTCTATGTATATTCTATGTTTATCACCCTCCCTCAAGATGGAGTATGAAGGTTATGAATGCCCAACTTGCCTAAAAAAGAACCAAATTTAGTGGCGCCAAGAGATTTGGTGAAGAGATCAGCCAGTTGATGATGAGTGGACACATAGGAGATATTCTGCCTCAGCGGATGATCGAGAAACCGTATGTTGCTTCTTGGTTTTCCAGGAAACGGGGGATTGACCAAGGAAAATAAACCAACCGGTGAGAGATCTTCGAGTGAGAGGACAACTTGCCCAGTCCGAGTCACACCAACCATAAAGACGAAGGTCACTCTCTCTTTTTAAAAGCACACCCTGACCCGGGCTGCCCTTTAAATAGCGTACCACGCGGAGTGCAGCCCGCCAATGCTCCTGACGCGGTTGGTGCATGAATTGAGATAGGACATGAACACTGTAAGATAATTCAGGTCGTGTAAAACACAAGTAAATAAGGCGACCGACGAGACGTCGATATTGACTCGGGTCAGAAAGTAGTTCGCCATCAGCCAATGCTAAACGATGATTTTCTTCGATTGGCGTGGACACAGGTTTCCCTCCAAGCAATCCTGCTTCAGCTATGATGTCCAACGCATTCCGTTGACACAAGAAAATTCCTGTAGGAGATCTGGCAACCTCCACCCCAAGAAAGTATTTTAATTTCCCTAAGTCCTTCATATGAAAACATTGATGAAGATAATCTTTGAATTGCGCAATGTCTTCATGATGATTGCCAGCAATGACTAGGTCATCCACGTAAACTAACACAACCAGTTCGACATCTCCTTTGCAAAAGATGAATAAGGAGTGATCACACAAAGAACGTTGAAATCCATATTGAACAAGAGCAGTTGAGAGCTTGGCAAACCAACACCGAGGAGCTTGACGAAGACCATAAAGGGACTTGCGGAGACGACACACCATACCCTTTTGAGACACCAAGAACCCTGGCGGTATTTTCATGTACACAGCTTCCTCAAGATCGCCGTGCAGAAAAGCATTATGGACATCCATTTGATGGAGTTCCCGGTCTTTGGCTACTGCCACTTGCCAACACCTGTCCGAATGGTGACCATCTTTGCCACTGGGGCAAAGGTCTCGTCATAGTCAATCCCCTCAACTTGGTGATTTCCCAAGACAACTAATCGGGCTTTGAAGCGTTCAACGCTCCCATCGGAATGATATTTGATTTTATAAATCCACTTGCAACCCGGAGGCTTCTTCCTGCTAGGTAGAGGAGTAATGTCCCATGTTTCATTACTTTGGAGGGCACTGAATTTCACTAGCCATGGCATCTCTCCATCTAACATCCCGAACAACTTCAAAGAAATGCACGGGTTCTCGCTCCGCATGAAGGGCTGCAAGAAAGGTTCGGTGGAGGAAGGAGAATTTAGCACAATTTAAGTACTTTGTCAAACTGTAAGGCATACCCGAGGAAGCTCGAATGTGGAGTGCGAATTGAGGGACCGAGTTGTAAAGTGGTGTTAGTGACATAATCACGAAGCTTCACGGATGGCTTTCGTACACGAAGACCTTTCCCCGGGGATGCGGGGACAGTATGCTCCTCGAGAACCTCTAGTTCTGTCATCATAGAGTCGGTTTGTTCCGGTGGGAGAACGATCCGGGTGGGAGGCTCTTGTTCATGGCATTCGGCGTGGCCCTCCCCGAACTCGGTTGTGGGCACATCTTCCGTTGTGGGGTTAACGTCATCGGTCTCCACAACGTGTTCCGCATTGTTCATTGCACCAAGTCCAGGCAATGCTTCCTCGACAATGCCAACATCAACGAGTAGGCAATCCTACCTCCGAATGTCTACTGTGGGCAAGAGAGGCAAACGGGAATTCATGTTCTACAAACTTAACATCTCTCGAAGTCCGGAAGACTTCTCTTTCCGGATCAAACAATTTCCAGCCCTTTTGTCCGATTGAATATCCAACAAATACATTCTTGCGACTTCTACTTGCAAATTTGTCACCTTTCCTATCTTGGTTATGTGCATAACACAAGCATCCAAATACCCGTAGATGGTCATAAGTGGGTGGCTTCCCATTCAATATTTCATATGGAGTTTTTCCATGGAGAACGGTTGAGGGTGTACGATTGATCAAGTATCCTGCGGTCAAAATGCATTCTCCCCGAATTGAAGTGGAAGTTCTCCCCGAAATCGTAGAGCACGAGCTACATTTAGGATGTGTCGATGTTTTCGTTCGGCTCTCCCATTTTGCTTGAGGTGTTCCGAGTGCATGAGGTTTGATGGAGTATCCCATGTTGCTGAAAATATCGTTGAAGACACATAAACTCGGTTCCATTGTCACTTCGTAATATTTTGACTTGTTTCTCGTATTGTCGTTCTATTAAAGCGATGAAATGCATTAAGGTTTGTGACACATCTTTCTTATTATTCAAGAGATATATCCACACGGCTCGAGAACAGTCATCAACCAAAGTGAGAAAGTAAGATGCACCACAAGACGAGGGAGTTCTATATGGACCCCATAAATCACAATGTATTAAATCAAATATATTGGATGCTTGAAAATCACTTAAAGGAAATGTGTTTCTACATTGCTTTGATCTCTCACACACTTCACACACACGAGTTGTATCCGTATTTCTATTCACGCTTGTTCGGATGCGGAATTTTTCTAACAATCTGGTAGGCGAGGATGTCCCATTCGCTTGTGCCAAATCTCTAGTTGATTTTCCGCATTGGTCCGATACGCCTTTATGCCACTCACACCACGATACCAATAGAGTCCCTCTTTTCGTTCACCCGCTCCAATCGGCATCCTCGAAGTGTGGTCCTGCATTGCACAAAATCTATCGAGTAAAATGTACTTGTACATTTTACTTCATTCATCAATTGTGAAGCTGAAATCAAATTGCAATTCAATTTCGGAACATATAGAACATGTTTAAGTTTCAGTCCTCCATCAAGGAAAACTGATCCTTCTTTGTTTGCCGACACCAATTCACCATTTGGTAGTCCCACTCGGGCACCCTTCCAAGGCTCGACTCTCCCTCAAGTTTTCTAGTGTTCCTGTCATATGATTAGAGGCGCCACTATCAATAATCCACAAGTCACATGCTTTCTTACCAGTCATCTTTTCGGTTTCATTTGCCTTGCGAGAATTCAACATTCGTTGTCAAGATCTGCCATTGCTCATTACTCGATCCCGCTACTTCGGTTTTTCGGTTGAACCAACGTTATCCGCACCGAGTGTGCGCCATATTGACGCGAGCCGTTCCTCCTTTCCCTCGGAAGGTTCCTGTTCTTTGTTGATTTTTTCCATCGTTTCTATCGGTTCGTGGTCTCTCTCCCCACCATTCGGGTAACCAATGATCTCGAAGCAATTGCCTTTGTCATGTCCCTTCCTTCCACACTGCATGCAAACAACTCGATTTTTCTTTCGCTTCATTGCGCAACTTGTTCCTGGTTTCCGCTCGCATAGCCATTCCCACGATCATTCCTCGCTCTTCTTTAGACACTGGTGATTGTTCTCACCCTTTCTTCTTGCACCATGGTGGCATACACCCGATTCAACGAGGGTAATGGATCCGTTGCCAAAACATTTGACCATGCAGTTCCATAGCCCTCATCATCTAGCCCCATCAAGAACCGATGAATTTTTTCTTCTTCTCTTCGTTCCTCAAGTTGCGTCATAATATTACAATTGCATCCCCCACATCTACACTCGTGGGATTTGCTCGTAATTTGCCAGTTCATCCCACAACGTTTTCAACTTCCCATAATAGGAAACCATAGTCATTCCTTGTTGTTTGCATTACGCCAACTCGACTTTAGCTCGCTGGATTCTTGGTCCGTTCACGATCGAGAATCGTTCCTTGATGTCATCCCATAGGTCCTTTGCGTTTTCCATGTATGCAACAGGTGGAACGCAAACTAGGTTCTATAGTGTTTAGTATCCAAGATACAAGCATCGATTGAATTGTCCACCAATCTTCTATCTCGGATGTGTCTTCTTCGGGTTCCTTATGAGTTCCATCTATGAAACCCCATTTCCTTCGAGCCGCGAGAGATATCTTCACGGCCCTTGCCCATTCCTCGTAATTCTCTCCTCGTAATTGTACTGTGTAATCACATTTCCAGGATTATCACCGGCACTCGGATCGTATGGCGATGGTGTTTTCTTCACCGCCTCTCCTCTCTCGCCATTTTAGAAGTACGATCGTGTTTTCGAGTCGTTGGATATCGAGTTTGGTTCGCTCCGATACCATGATAAAAATATTTCCGAAAACCCCTTCCTTGTATTGAATATGATAGCACAATATATACATGAAATACAGAAACATTCTAGGCTATAATTACGCTAACCATTATAGTCGGTATCCTAAATTTGTCTATTAACAGATATGAAATAATGTGCATCGCTGTCATGCCAAGCTAAATATGGAAAAAAATAATCATGTAGAATCATGACATGATACGGTATTTGTAATCGTATATTCTATGTATATTCTATGTTTATCAGAAAATTCACTAGAAAACACATGTGAATTAGAAGTGTGTGGGCATCCAAGCTTTTGGTATTATAAAAGGAAGCTTGCCTTCATCCTAGTATCTCACAGCTAGCTAGCTCCCATTTCACGTCTATCATCGTTCTTCGCTTTCAACCTCGCAGAATGAGTACAATTATTGGTGAGTACAATTATAATGTAGATCAGAACATTCATAATAACTAGTTCTAATGTTTCCAAATTCTGCTTGTTATTAGGTTACTCTTTATATATATTATCATCTTTTTCAAACATATATCATCATAGGATATATAAGTTTGTTTATCTTTAAAGTTATTTAATCTTTTCTACAAGATGACCTAAATTATTCAAATGATTAACGTTGACAGTTGAAGGAATAAACACAAGAGAAATCTTCATGGAATACGTGGAAACCATGTAAATGATCCTACCAGCACATTCGATTATTAATTTAACTTCTTTTTTTTTCTATATTGATCAACTTATTCCTTAATATGAGATAAAGTTTCATCTTCACATCTATGTTTGGTGTGATTGGTTTACTATATATTTGAATAATTTCAATAAAAACTTTCTCCCACTCTATGTTGTCCTGATTTCAATGAAATGTAAACAATTCAGAAATGTGATTCTTCCATTCTCACACCAAGATTTACACCCTTTGTATGTCTAGAATTATCAACAATAATAGAAGGAGCAGAATCTACAAGTGTGGATCAGATCTCACTGTTCAGAGGGTGGGTATTGGAAGGAAGATGGGAGTGCGTTCTTACTGCATATAGAAACGACAGTGACTACCACATAATCAGAATCAATGAGGAAAGAGGCACTGCACTACATGTGGCAGTGAATGATGGGATAGTGCATCTTGTTAAGGCACTTGTTGGAGCAATCTTGACCCATGAAGAGGGGAAAGTGGTGGGGAGTGATAGTGCACTGAGATCAACCAATGAGAGAGGGGACACTCCTTTACACCTTGCTGCCTCAAGAGGGTTCATTGGCATGTGCAAGTGCATCATTGGGGAAAATGGGGAAAGGAAGGAATTGATTACGGTTAGGAACAAAAAGGGTGAAACACCTCTTTTTAGGGCTGTGCTTACATGCCAAACAGAGACCTTTGTGTACCTTCACAATGCTTCCAAAGAGTTAGATGTTCCTCTTAGGAACTATGATGGGGATACCATCCTTCACTATGCCATTTGGAGAGAATTCTTAGGTAAGCAAGCTTTTAACTTCATGTTCATCCATGTAGTTTTGTTATCGATACAAACTAGTTATTTTTAATTTGCATATATATTGTAAATACAATGCTAAAATAGGTATTGAACTGTGTAAATATAGTTTAGGAATTAATAATCATTTTCAATTACTGAAATAGGTAAATTATTCTATCTTAGTGGTTAAGACATATTTGAGCACATATTGGTTAGAGAGAATTAATTCTTGTTGTTTTAAGAGTGAGTTGCTTGTTCTTAGAGTGAATATTGATAGGGGTGCTCCGAATTCAAGAAAAAAAAAAAAGGACTCAAGTTAATTAAAAGTGGTTGTGTAATTGAGTCTGGTTGTGTGAGTAAACCTTATCGCTATCAAGTTGTGTAGGTCATCTTAAATGTTTAAAAAAATAAAGTATAAGAATCGAAGAAAGAAACTAGAATACTAGAGAAAAAAATATTATCAATCGTGTTTGAATGGAGAATTTATCCAGGGGAATTCATTTTAATAGAGTATTAGAAATTAACGAAGATATTTATATTTTATTTTCAAAGTTCAATTAAAAGTAAGAATTTGAATTTTTTTTTAAATTTATATATTTTCTTTGACTCAATCTTTATTAAAATATTTTCAACTCATCTTGATTTGATAAGAATGACCTATTTCAGGCTCTACCTGTCTTGACCTGATTTGAATTAACTTAATACATTCTAATCATCATCAAATTATCTCAACTCGATTATTTTTTAATCTGATCTATCTTATATTAGTCTAACCCAACCTGTCTCGACCCAATCCAATCCATTTCAATGTGACTTATCCTAACCTAATCTAATCCTTCTTGATCAGGTTCGACCCAACTAGTCATTGTAGGTTTTGACCCACCAACCTATACAACTCAATTGACTCCTCTTAGTTTGACCTAGTTCATCTTGGTCAGACTCCTCTTAACTAACACATATTGTCTTAACTTGACCTAACCAGTCTAATCTTGATATATCCTATTTACTTACTACTCGATCTGACTCATCTGTATCCAATTTTCCTTGACATGATTTGATTTGTTTTAATATAGTTTGATTCATCATTATATAGTCCAACACGACCTGACTCATTCCAACCTGGCACCTAACCCAATCTTCCTAACCTAATACAACTTGTTTTGATTGGATCCGATCTTATTAGTTCAGTTCATCTCCATCTCTCTTGACTTGATCTATTATGTCATAGTCTCGTCTCAATACATCCTTATCCACGGATAAAGGTCAAGTACTCCGAGTTAAACCTAATTTACAATATAATAATTTTGATAATTTTTATATTTGATAGTAATTGAAATACTTTATCCAAACAAGAAAATTAAATTATCTTATTAAAATAAATTATTTAAAAAATTAAATTATTTTAAATAAAATAAATCCAAATTTTATATATTTAAATTTTCTAAAAAAAAAAACATTATCCAAATACAACATAAAACCACGTTATTTCTCTAATAACATTTTGCACTTTTAACTTTGAAAGCTTATTCATAGTATCAATAATAGAAATACAATAATTCATAGTATTTTATAAACTATCTGAATGTTTCAAAAAATTACTTCTCCTGCATTGATTATTTTATTTAAAGTTTTATATCTTCAATTCATTCCTTCAAAGTTTTTATTTCTTAAATAAAATTTTGAAAATAATTTTATGCTGTACATATAAGTCTTTTAGATCCAAAAAATGAAGCCCTAACCATAGATTTTAATGACCTAGAACAGATTTTTTTTCTCAAATCACTATTTTAAATTAAAAAATAACTCTAATGTATACGAACAAATAATTAGACAACAAATTAATGTGAAATGATTCAGTTTGATTGGATCAAAATTTTGAGTGTATGATAATTACTTGTTAATGATTTCTGTGTGTGTTTGATAGATTTGGCAATTATAATAACTCATTGTTATCCTGGACTTGTGGACACAAGAAACAAAGATGGAGTCACACCTCTCAAAGTTCTTGCCAACAAACCTTCAGCCTTCAAGAGTGGAAGCAATCTCTCATGGTGGAAGCAAATTCTATACTACTGTAAGTGTTGGTGATTGATCTCATAAGGTTTTTAATCAATACATCAGATTTCATAATTATAAACTTTTAAAATAATTTTTTTAAATAGAAATATTTACATGAAAACTAAATTTTCAAATTAAAACAAAAATAATCAGTTAAGGAAAAGAACATAGGTAATAAAAAACATATACATAATTGTAAACTAATAACTTGTATATTGGAGGATCAAAATAATATTTAATTATGTTATATATATATATATATATATATATATATATATATATATATATATATAGTACGTGTGTGTCAATGACCACCAAAAATACACTTTTAAGATTATTTCTATTATTTTTCATGTGAAAAGGTATACTTGTAGAACCTCTAGATTCTGAGAAAGCTATAAATTCGTACATGGAGAAAGTTGACAAATATGACGACCATGAACCCAAAGGTAAACTTCTCAAATGTTAATTAACATTACCTTTTTATTTTAAATTATATACATTATGAATTAATAATATAAAAAGTATTAGTTCCTTTAATTTTGTAGCACTTTGAATTGATATTAAATTCGCTATATTATTATAAATTTAATGTTATATGTAATTGTTTAGCTATACTGTTACTTTTATCGCCCACGCGGGTTTTGCAAATTAGTTCAATAATCATTGTGAAATAAATGTTAGAAAAGTTAAGTTAAAAACGCAAGATTATTATTATTTCAGGGAATATACCGGTAGAAAAAGAATCCAAAAAAGCACAAATTTACGTGGAACGAAAGTATGCCACTTCTGTTCGCTTTGTAAAGAGTGCTGTTCGAATAGCATTCAAATTCCTTAGCATCTCTGGATTGGGAGTCACTACACAAGGTACGTAGGTCTCTCTCTTTCTAACTAACCTTTAATCAATGACGTCATTCTCACTTGATGGTTTTTTTTTTTCTTCATTCCTCGGTGTCTTCATTCACATAGAGATAACCCTGTTTTTTTTATTATATGGATTTTGAGCAAAACCTAGTTGGATTAATCACAAATGATTCCTCTTGTGTGTGCATGTACATAACTTCGAAGACTTGAAAGCAATAAAGAAGATAAGGCAGAAGCACAAATGGGGTCCCCAGCTCTTGAATATTTTTATGAAAACGCCTTATGAGTCGTACATGGGAATCACTGGTGGTCAACCATTTATGAAAGTTGACAGAGACGGTGACTTGGGGCAACCCTTTATTACCCAGCAACAGTTACAAAGTAAGCGATAATCACTTTAGTTTATGAGTTCATACATCATTCAGTAATATCTAAATCTAAATGCATTTGGTTCTATCTCTCTCTTTCTGTATATATTTGCAGCGGTGGATGCAGCTAGCTCAGGGCAGAATCAACAACAAAATAATAGAACAGAATCTGCAGCAAAAAATGAGAAGGAAACAACATTTGTGACAGTGGCAAAAGCTGGCATAGTCGACCTTGTGAAGGAGCTTCAAAACAAAGTACCAAGTGCCCTCCATGACACTACCACCCCTGAGAAGGATAACCTGCTGGTTGTGGCAATGAAGAACATCAGGTACAAATTTGGAGAACACCATGTTGACAAGAAGGAGACTGCATTCTTGGCAGCTGCGAAAAACGGCATTGTGGAGATTGTGTATGCCCTTCAATCCAAAATACCGAGTGCTGTGCATGAAACCAACTCCAACAATGAAAACGTGTTGCTTGTGGCAGTGAAGCACAGGCAAACCAAAGTTGTTGAGGTGTTGAAGAAGAATTTGGAGACGAATCTGTTTGGTAGCTTAATTTTGGAAGTGGATAACAGGGAGAACACCGTCTTGCATTTGGCAGCAGGTACAAGTAGCAGCAGTGAAAGGACATGGCAGATTGCTGGTGCTGCCATGCAAATGATGTGGGATATCAAGTGGTATCAGGTAGCATTTTTCTTTTTATTTGATATTTATAGTATTAAAGTTAACCTTTTCATGCTACAAGTTAATTACGGCTGCACATGAAGTAATAAATCTTACGATCATGACTGCATGAATGCATGCAGTACGTGAGAGACCTAGTGCCAGAACATTTAACTTTCAGAACCAACAAGGACGACAAAACCGCTGGAGAAATCTTCAAGCAGAATCACAAAGATCTGGTGAAGGAGAGCTCCGAGTGGCTGAAGGAAACCTCCAATTCCTGCTCGGTGGTGGCCGCTCTCATCGCCGGGGTCTCGTTCGCCACCTCCAGCTCTGTCCCGGGCGGCACTGACAACGGAAAGCCGGAGCTGGAAGGGCAGCCGGCTTTCGACGCCTTCGCCATCGCCTCCCTGATCGGCCTCTGCTTTTCCGTCACCGCCCTGATAATGTTCCTGGCCATCTTGACCTCCCGGAAACAGGCCCAGGACTTCCGGAAAAGCTTGCCCTTGAAGCTCCTCTACGGCCTCAGCTCTCTCTTCGTCTCCATTGCTTCCATGCTCATTTCGTTTTGCTTTGCTCATTTCTTCGTGCTCAAGGACAAGTACAAGGACATCTTATTCCCTGTTTACATTGCCACTTGTTTGCCTGTCACTTTCTATGCAATTGTGCAGTTTCCTCTCTACGCTGATCTGCTTAAAGCAATCTTCAAGAAGCTGCCACAACCAAGCATTACCAGTAGCCAATTCTAGAGGGGTTTTCATCACAACAAGAATGTTGAGGGCACTTTCTTTCAATACTTCTTAGTATGATTGATTAGATGGAATCTAATCAAAATTATTATTGTTGAGGAGTTTCATTGTGAGGAGAGAAAATAAGTGATAGCTAACAAATTTTATGATTTTCAGTAAATTTTTCTAAATTATAAAGGGAGTGTTAAAATTTATGAGGGTGTTGTTTTCAATAATTGTATTTTACCTGAATGTATTATTTATTTCTTAAGAAGTTTCATTTTTCTTTTTATCATTATCCAATAATATATACTACTATAAATTTTTATATTCCATGAATTTCTTTCACAATTATTTTTATAAAAATTCATAAAATAAAAGTTATTTTATAAATTATATCATGCAAATAATTTACTAATAATTAGTTACCTACAAATATCGAATTATAAGAAATTTTCAGTAAAATTTCTTAATTTAAAAATTTTGCAGGACAGCTTCTTAATTACAAAAAATCGTAAAAAACATTCACTAGTGCAAAAAGGGGCTTTTACGTCAGGTATTTAGAATTTTTTACGTCGTATTTAAGTCCGACGTTAAAGCGGGAGACGTAAATTTACGTCGGACCCTTTTGCCCGACGTAGATTTACGTCGGTTATCAAGATCCGACGTAGATTTACACTAAACGAGATGTAAAAACCTTTTCAATTTAAAAAAAAAAACAGAAAATTTACGTCGCATATACCAATATGCGACGTAAATTTACTGTTTTTTTTTTAAATTGGGTTTATTTATTCTGTTTTACAACTAAAACCTGCAAATATTACAACCAGACAGTCCAGAGGTTCAATTTTCTTTAGCTAGTAAATTAAAAATATAATATTATATAATTCAAACTACATAATAAAACAATATAATACAAACATACAAACTAAAAAATCTATTACAAACTAAGCTACGTATACAAACTAAGCTACGTATACAAACTAAGCTACCTATACAAACTAAACTAAACTACATAATACACACAATATAATATGAAAAAGAACTTAAAAAATAATGTACTAGAATTGTTGAACAAAAAATTTTGCCCATTGTTCTCTAATTTCGTAATCTCGGATTCTGGTAATGGAGATGGATCTTGAAATACCCGAAACATGAATTTGACTCTTGTAAGCATGCAACATGAATAAAGTTAAATAAACTTAACTAATGTTAAAAGTAATTACCTCTGTCCAAGAATTAATTAAACCCGCACAAACTATGACTCTCATCCAATACATTACATAGTAACCACATTCAAACGAGTCGGTTTGCTTATTACACTAAAATGATGAAAAAAACATAATATTATTTTTAAAATTGAAATACAAACAATAATTATGGTATTTACTTATATAAATAAGTTTCTAACCTTAGGATAAATGAACTGCAAAGTCTTTGTTCTAGGTTTTCCACTTAGAACATTAGTTCCGATACACGATTCTAAGTGAAAAAAAGTCATATATTATTCAATATGTATTCACAATTTAAAAACATAATTAATGAATAAAAGATAAAGTTACCCTTGTAATAAGCTTTTCATTTCTTGACTCGGTTTCCAATGTAATGAACAAAACCACACCACGAGTGTAATCCCGGGGCATGATTACAATTAACTGCCAATGGGACCTACATTGTATGACATAAAAATTAGTTACAAAAATATAAATTAAAATACAAATTAAAATACTAACCCTTCAATGTATGGAGCCAAATATATATGTCTTCTTGAGTCACTCATCCATGTTTGCATATATTGTTGGATTCCAACCTTTGTATTTCCAGATTTTTGGATGGATTGAGGCTCAATAAATCCGTATACTTCGGATTTTTCTTGTTCCACACTCAAATTGTCAAGGTACCTAAAACAATTAATTATAAGTTGAATATAATTATTATAATCTTAGAAACATAAATGAAAATGACTTACATTGCCCACAATTGTATGATGGAAATGTTTAACATGCAATTTCCCCGACAATTTCTAAAGCATCGGGTAAGGAAATGTACAATGGAACACTCGGAATTGTCAATTCCAAACACTCTAACATCCCATTGTATCCGACATGGTCTCTTCCTCAATCGTGGTAATACGGCTAACAACATAGAGATGGGATCATCATCACATTCTGTCGGATCCTCATCAATAATAGGTTATTTTTTATGCTTAGCACGACGCAAGTCCTCCTAAACAAATGATAACAATTAATTAAACATTTATATAATTATAATACTAGAAAAGAGTAAATAGACAATATGTATATGTATGTATATATATATATATATATATATATATATATATATATATATATATATATTACATTGGTCTCGTGCTCGATAGTGGCATAACCAAACGTCTTGGCCAAGCCAAGAATGTCCCGCTTGCCTGCCCCACTAATTGAATCTCTTCATTAGGAAAAGGCACTAGAGCATTAGCATCATGAACTTCATCAACTACTACTCGTGTCCAGTCTGGTCGTAGAGGGACACCATGGATGGTTAAGCCACCCTCAAAAACTCGACCAACGACCCACTAGACGCGGGGGTCATCTTCAACATATAACTCACACCTGGTGTGATGCATCGATCCGAGTATATTCTCCTGAAGGATCAACGGTAGTAGCGAGCACAACTCCCTTTAGTGCTGACTCGAACAATATCATGTTCAATTGTTTGAGGTGTTCCTTGAGTCTCGTTGTCGAGAGCGGGCGAGAGATTCAATTTTCTCATCAAACTCTTGCTTGCAAGGACTGCCTTATTTGATTTAACGTTTCTTCAAACTGCATCTCCATTTTATGCAAGGCCTCCTGGCCGCAAGAGTCAGCGAGTGGTCCTTCGTGATGTTGGACCAAAGTAATCACGAAGGCCCCGGGTTCCACCAGCACCACGCACACGTCCCGAGTAATCTGGTTTTCCTATGGTCGTCGCCAATATATCTTGTCGACCATGAGGAATAAATGATCCTTGGTCGGTCCGCTCAACTAAATCATCCTACAACACATTAACAATAATTAAGTCATACACTAACTTTCAAATTAGAATCAATTCAAATTGACATTATAACTTACGATTTTCCGAGCAATGATTCGTGCGGACTCGGAAGTCATTTGTCCATCGGATTTTGTCCGGCTGCCTTCCACATCCGATAGCGAGGGGTGGAGATGCAAGGTCGGTAGAATCAACTCTTGCCGACTCTTCTCTGGATTTCATGAGACGTTGCTCCAATAATGCATACCCTCCTCGTGACAATACATGGGGTGCATCATTCAACCTCCGACGTTGTTGGGCGGCTTGTCTTTTATCCTCGCCAAGAGGGGTCCATTCGGCTGGCACAAAGCTGTAACCAATCCTCCTCACTAATTTGATACTTTAGACAGGGAGATTCATCTCGAAACTTTCCAAATACATACTCCCGTGTCAAGAAAGTCTTAAAGTCCCTCCATCTAATGGCAATGGAGGATAAAATCTTCTTCCTCATCACCTCGGTGTTAGGAACATCAAAATTTTGTCTGTGAAATGACCAATAAATGTTAAATTCAATTAATAATGATATATAAAGTATTCAACAAATATAGAAATACCTGAACATCCTGCCACATGAGGTTCTTCTCGGTTTCCTCAACATCATCCCAAGATGGAGTAGTAATCGGAACATGGTGTCGAGCTAGTAGTCCCAAATAGCTCTTAAACTTAGCAGCATTTGGGCCGGATGCCTTACCGGAACGTGGATCAACTTCAACTTGAGTTTTCTCTCTAGCTACCCTCCTTGCTGTCAACCCCTTTAACCGAGTGACAGATCTACCTTTATCACCACTTCCGCTCCTGCCATTGCCACTACCACTACCACTACCAGCATTACAGTGTGGAATCCGACATATCCCGAAAAACAAAACAATATGAAGTCAACATACTTTATAAGTTTGAATAAAAAGAACTAGAAAATGTGAAGATAAACACCTATTATGTTGGTATGTTTTCCCATATCCCTTCATCATGATCACTTCGAATTGCATGTATGTCATCAACTTCATTGTCAACTATGTCATCAAATGGTCTACTTGAAAATGAAGGTGTTTCATGTATATCTAGAGACTCATCTTCATGAATTTCGTGCATGTTTCTTCCTTCTAGGACAATTGACCATCTCTCATTACATGGATCCTTGACATAAAATATTTGTCTCGCTTGATATGCCAAAATAAAAGGTTCATCCTTATACCCAACTTTACTCAAATCAACCAAAGTAAATCCTAGGTCATCTGTTCGCACACCAGTATTCCCTTCAACCCATTTACACTTGAAGACAGGCACCCTAAAAGTAACATAATCAATTTCCCATATCTCTTGTATGACCCCAAAATAACTCATAGAAGCTGTGATAGGATTTTTGTCTTTAGAACTAGAAAAATGCATAGATTCAGCTTGAATTGTGATCCCACTATTTTGTACTCTACCTTTATCATCTTCTATTTTTGAGTAGAAACAATAGTTATTAATGTCATACCCACCAAATGTAATGACATCACTATTAGGCCCAAGAGCAAGTCTCAAAAGTGTTTCTGAAGCATTAATCTCAACATATACCCTTTTTTTAAACCAAGAAAGGAAACTTTTGTTATGTTCATTCAATATCCATTTTTCATTCATTCGTGGATGTGTTGCCTTTATTTCGGTTATGTGTTGTGATATGTAAGGGATTACTTCATCGGTGTTGTTCAATATGTATAAATGTGCTTGGTCAACTTCTTTCCGACTAACATTTTTAATCTTCAAATTTCGAGTACCCTTACCTTCACATCTTCCATCATGTCTCATCTTAGGAATACCTATTGGTTCTGATTTTGACATGTATCCTTGACAAAACTCAATGGCTTCTTCTGCAATGTACCTTTCCACAATAGAAGCTTCGGCCTGTCATCGATTCTTCACATATCCTTTTAAGATCTTCATGTATCTCTCAACGGGATACATCCATCTAAGAA